CATCTCTAACAGTCATAACAAAGAAAGATTTTGACGCTGTCACAGGAGGATCAGTGTCTCTACAGCCGTGTCACAAGTGTCTAACAACATACACTGGTGACAATGTTCCGGTAATAGGAGAGTGTATGGTTCGTGTAAGTTATAATGGTCAAAGTGTTAAACTTCCTCTTCTTGTGGTTGAAGGAAATGGACCGCCATTACTAGGTAGGAACTGGTTAAGTGATCTTAAGTTAAATTGGGAGAGTATTTGTTCATTGAAGAATGTAAAAGAATCTAGTCTTACTTCACTAGATAAAGTTATATCTGAAAATAAATGTGTTTTTGGTAATTCAGGTTTACTAAATGATAGAACAGTGAAGTTAAGCATTAAAGACACAAATCCAAGATACTGCAAAGCTAGAGTTCCACCTTATGCAATGAGGAATAAAATTGAAAATGAGCTAAGTAGATTGGAATCTAATGGCATTATAAAGAAGGTAGACTATTCCGATTGGGCGACACCCATTGTGCCAGTGTTAAAGAAGGATGGTTCTATAAGAATTTGTGGAGATTATAAAACTACACTGAATAAGCAAATAGAGCTAAATAGGTACCCTATACCTAACATTGAGGAAATTTCTTTGAATTTGGCAGGAGGAGACAAATTCACTGAATTAGACTTTAGTCATGCTTACACTCAACTAGAACTGCATCCAGATTCAAAAGTCTATACGACAATAAACACACATAAAGGACTCTACCAATATGAAAGACTATGTTTTGGCATATCATCTAGCCCTGGAATTTTCCAAGCTGTCATGGACAGTATTTTTAAGGATATTCCAAATGTTTGTGTGTACTTTGACAATGTGTACATAACTGGTAAGAATGACACTGAACATCTTAAAACACTAGATAAAGTATTGAAAATTGTTGGTGAAAAAGGTTTAAAGATAAACAAAGATAAATGTCAATTCATGCTGACAGAAATTAGTTTTCTTGGTTATATATTAAGCAAGCAAGGCATCAGACCTCAACCTGAGAAAACAAAAGCCATTAAAGAAGCACCCAAACCTGAAAATACCCAACAACTAAGAGCTTTTTTGGGCTTGATAAATTACTATGCAAAGTTCATAGGGAATCTGTCTGGTAGACTATCACCACTGTACAAGCTGCTACAGAAAAATGCAACTTGGCACTGGGGTAAACAACAAGAAGCTGCTTTTAACACAGCAAAAGAGGCTTTGTCTGCTGACACCTTACTAACTCACTATGACCCAGGGAAAAGACTTATATTAACATGTGATGCTTCACCAGATGGTGTTGGAGCAGTCTTGTCCCACATGGATGAGAAGGGTGACAGACCCATTGCTTTTGCCAGTAGATCTTTGAATCAGGCTGAGAAAAAGTATTCTCAGTTAGATAGGGAAGGCTTAGGCATCATTTTTGGTGTTAAGAAATTTCATAAGTTTCTGTTTGGTAGGAAGTTCACCATCTTTACAGATCATAAACCATTGCTAGGTTTATTTGGAGAAAACAAAACCCTACCTGAGCATGCCTCACCAAGAATTCAAAGATGGGCTATCACACTAACTGCATACAATTATGAATTGAAATACAAACCTGGATCTGAGAATAGTGCAGATAGTCTTAGTAGATTACCTTTAAAAAACCAAAGCCTGAGCTATGTACCAGAAGATGTTTTTGTTCTCTTCACTATCATGGATAACTCCAATATAAATGTGAATGATATTAAAAGAGAAACACAAAAAGATGAGTGCTTAATAAAAGTATATGAGTACTGTAAGAATGGTTGGCCTGAAGAGTCTGTGAATGATGACTTAAGGCCATATTAAATAAGAAATAAAAACCTTTGTGAAGATAATATAAAAGATGGAGAAGATGCAGTCCATTATCAGTCAGAGTTGCCTAAACAAGGTACTTGTAACTTGATAAATGATTATGGTGATATGGCAATTTCAAATGTTTTAAAGAGAATACATTAGTAAGAAGGAATGTGATCATCAAACAACTTTGCTAACATCATTAGCACTTACAGAAACTAAAAGGGTAACATCAAAAGAAAAGAGCAAAGATTTTTGCCATTGAATACACCCACTTCAAATACTGGATCACAGTTGCAAAGTGATATTGCCCAGGATATTACTTTTAAACAGTATGTTTGGTTACGAAAAAGCACTATCAGATTACCTGAGGAAATTGATCAATCAAAGAAATCTATGCCAGTTAAGGATCTGAATAATAGCATAATACTTTCAGATGCCAATTAAAAAATTAAATCATGACAAACATTCATTGAAAGAGAATTTGGTGTTAATGAGAATGTGTATCTAAGAAATTATGGGAAAAAGGAAAAATGGATACCAGGTCAAATTGTTCAATGTACAGGACCTATGTCTTATAAAGTTAAAAATAACTTGTGCAGATAATAAGTGTGAATCTGTCAATCCCACCAAGTCTGATCAGTTCACACCAACTCAGTTTGTTCCACAACCAAGTTCTGTTGATATGAGTGAATCAAGTTGTCTAGAGTCAGAAAATGTAAATTCTGGAGTTAATGATTTAAATCCTAGACCTCCTGAGATAGAGAATCCAGATGGTCAGAATCTTGAGTCACCAAATCAGAAGCCACTGAGAAGGTCAAGCAGGACAATCAAAGTCCCAAATAAGTTAGACCTATGATTCTAAAGGTCAAAAGGACTTTGACATTATTGTTTTGTATTTTGATTATGTTGTAGCATATTGTGCATTGTTTGTAAGGATGTAATCTACCATAGTGTTCATGTTACAATATAATTGGTGATTTTAGGATACTATCAATTGTTCTATTGAGAGATGTGTTATTGTGTTCTAAGGGTAAAGGGATGTAATAGATTGAAATAATTGTGAGGTCAAGGGAACTCACTCTTCTGTATTAGTTATATTTATAATATTGTTATCTTGAGTGATGTCCCTTATGTACTTCCTTCCGTCCTCTCTGTGTGTTACCATCGTGATGTAGTTAGACCCATTAAATGTGTTATATACAACCACAGGCTTCTGTCGTCAATCTATTATATACCCCATGTCTGCACAACACGTCCTCAACCCCCACCCCAATACGTTGTCCAAACTTACTTTAACATGCATCTTTTCTCATTTGAATATCGTGGCATTTAGACAGCACGTGTTTACATTGTCAATATTTTAAGAGGATTTTACCAGTGCGTCACCAATGATGTATTTTTAGATGCGTGACCTTGTTTTCTAACACTGTTTCTTGGATCGTATTTATAGCGCGGGTTTGTCCCCGCTACCGCACCTCGGCGACCGCCCAGAGTAACATTGGGCGCTCTCGGGTGCCATCAAATACACCACCGAAGGGGCGCCAAGTACGGTCCCTAGTTCATTTTGGTCAACAAACGTCATGTGCCACCGTGTCCCTGGATAATCGAAGCTTCGATCTTCTGCCTTATGTTCATTGTAATTCATCAACAAATGCAAATTCTTGCTGTTCGTATGAGCATTAATTTTAAAAAATATTGCTCCTACTGTAAAGTTGTGCATATTAGATATCTAGATATGAAAGCCTCAGCTCAAGTAATGAAAATATCTCAACAAACAAATTGTGGTTCATACATATATCTAAAGAACAACTTGTAAAATTAAATTTAAAAATTAGTTAACCAACTGGTAAAATAATTTTGTGTTATCAATTTTTGTAAACATCTGTTGAATTAAAACATGACTGAAAAAAAGTATTATCTTTGATGCTGAAGAAATAGTTTAAGTGCTTTAAAAATGTTATAGTTGCAAACTAACCAAATCTGAACTTTTCACAAACTAAACAAATAAGCAAATCAAAATATTGGTTTTATAGATTTTATTTCTTTTGTTTTAAAGAAAAAATATTTATAAATATGTCAAAATTGTTTGAAGAAAAGAATACTGTTTTAAAATTAAATAGTCATGTAACCTTTGGTTGACAATACCTGTTCTCTATAGCGGACAAATTAAGAAATGCACAATAATTACATTAAAATGTAATATTAACATTTATAAATAAAACTTGTGTGTAATTTTGTGTGTGTAAAATAGCAGTTTAAAAACAAGTCAGATTACATGTTATACAGGTAAACATAATGTAAACAAAACAATGCCTAAATAAAAAATTGTGTTGTTGTAATGCATACATTTTTTTAAACATTTACATAAATAGACCTATATTATAAAGATATGATGGATGACAACATGCAACATATGTTTTATTTGAAGTACAACAAATGATAATGCTTATTTTCCAGGTTTAACCTATGTTTTAAAATTTCTTTTGTGCCTATGTTTTGAACAAACATTTTTTATTTTACAAAACTCAATATTTTATTAAATATGACTGTAAATATGGAGCAGATTAAAACAAAGAATGTTACTTTAATTGGAATGATAGCTTACTTAATAATTTCTTTTTGAGAAATTTGTATCAAAAATTAACATTAAGAAATAAATAGTATGCACTTGTGCCTAAGAACTTCTTAATCTCAATGCTTGTGACTCTGCTGACATCTTGTAAAACAAAGAGTTGACATCATTCAGTAAAACAGCAGGGGAATCAAACTCTGATACTCTCCCCTTGTCTAGAACCAAAATTCTGAAGATGAGTAAAAGTAGTTCCTTAATATGATAATAATGTTTGAAACATTGTGCTGGCATTACTTTTATATATCCATTGTGACCTAGATTAAAAAAAAATTATCAGACAACTTTTTAGAAATGTGTCTTTTTTTGTGCTAATCTCTCTGAAAAATGAACCAGGATTTAGAAAAAAACATTTGTGTTGCATTTATGCACAGATCTTTAATTTATCTTAGATTTTAATAGCTTTTAAAAAACAACAGATCATTGCAAAAAATGTCTTGGTTAATCTGATAAAACATTGTTACTTTTAAAAATAAAGTTGTCAAATATTATTTCATTTTAATTAACAAATTATTTAGAGACATGTAAGCATTAAGAAGGTTATGAGAGAAGAAGCTTGTGCCTAAGAATTTTTTAATCTCAATGCTTGTGACTCTGCTGACATCTTGTAAAACAAAGAGTTGACATCATTCAGTAAAACAGCTGGGGAATCAAACTCTGATACTCTCCCCTTGTCTAGAACCAAAATTCTGAAGATGAAAAAAATTAGTTTATTAATGTGATAATAATGAAAGTAATCAAGGCATAGTTTTTTTAAAATTATTTTGTACATTCCTTTTATATTTAGGTAAACTATTAATAGCTTTTCTTTCACTATAAATTAATGATTTAGCAAAAAATTTCAGGGTTATTGCCATAGAAAATTATTGGGTAAAATAAAAATGTATTCACCTGTCGTAATCCATGACAGTGTTGAGCCTATGTGCAATGGTTAACACAGTACAGCCCTGGAACTCAGACCTGATTGTCTTTTGAATCAGTTCATCTGTCTCTACATCCACAGCTGCTGTGGCTTCATCCAGCACCAAGATTTTTGTTTTCCTTAGCAACGCCCTCCCCAAACATACAAGCTGTCTTTGGCCAATACTTTAAAAAAAAATGAAATTATTAAAATATTTTTCTTAACATATCTTTAAAAATATAAGGATTTCTATTAATAACTTACAAATTAATTAAATTAAAGCAGTATATTTTTTTAGATATATAGGATATATTTTTACCTCAAATTTGTACCTCCTTCCCCAACTTCATAGTCCAGCCCTTCTGGTAAGTTCTTCACAAAAGATTTGAGATGACAATGTTCTAGTGATGTCCATATTTCTTTTTCTTGAAATTCATCAAAAGGGTCTAAGTTGGTCCTCAGAGTACCAGTAAACAACACTGGGTCCTTAAATATAAACAATAAACAGGGAAAATTATGGAATAAAAGTAAAATGTGAAATTCAAAACAAAAATTATTTGAATTACAATTTTAACAGATGAATAATTATGTGATACAATAATAAAATAAGAGTTAAATATGAATTTAAAATAAAAATAATTTGTATCATAATTTTAACAGATAAAGCCAGAATGTATGTTACCATTTTGATTTAGCCCAACTTACCTGAGGTAAAATAGTTAACTTCTGTCTGAGATCATAGAGACCAAGTTTACTAATATCCAAACCATCAATAAAGATTTGTCCATCACAGGGCTCGACCAATCGAAACAGAGTTAAGAGAAGGGATGATTTTCCAGCACCTGTTCTCCCTACAATTCCTACCTGTTAAACAAGTTAATTGAAAAGTCTAGTGACAATTTTAGCACAATTTCCTTATGTTATCTAAAAATAGCTCTGACGTATAATGCTGGGGTGCGTTCAAGCTAGGAGAACGATCGGTTTGTAGGTGTTTATGTAATTTTAAAATTTGTGACAGAACGAAAGGATATTTTTGAAAACTTTCTTCGGCAATATTGTTCTAAATTATGACAGGAATCGATTGGTAAATGTTTCAAGTCGCTAAGTGTTCTGGTTGCCGAGATATGGGCTAAAAACTGCATTTTTTCGAGGTTTTTTGGCTTTTCCGTGAAATCCAGGAAGGAATTCCGGGAATTTTTTTGGCCCACTATCATCCTCGGAACTTGCTTAACAAATTTGCTTTAGAACTAGTCCTCGATATTGCTTCGTTGAGGAGGAGATACGACTTAAAGCTGCGAAAACACATCCATCCATTCCCAGAAAAGACGAGTTAATAAACGCAATTCTCCAGAATGGAAATTGCGCTAAAAAGTATCAGTCATCTATAAACCATTTCATTAGCAGCAAAACAAACAAAATCAAGATTTGAGTAGAACAGGAGATAAATTATTTTAAAGTTCTATTCTTATCAAGATAAGGGATTAAAATTCAATCTATAATAATTTAATGTCCTTTTCTACTGATATACATTATAATCAACATTAGTATATTATTATTATCTATAAGCATAGCTTCGAACTAGATTTTAAAAACTTTTTTTAAAAAGTGTTAATAATTACTATGTTTAAGTGTGTTAAAAACACCTTTCCTCTGTGAGGAGATACATACCTTTTCACCATCTTGAACATGAAAACTTATTTTCTTAAGAACCAAATCCAACCCCTTTCTGTATTGTACACAAACATCTTTAAAGATTATATCTCCTGTCTGAGGCCATTGCTGGGTGTAACCAGGGCATGGCAAATGGCGAGGTGCCTGTAAACATTCACATACAATAATTTAAAAACAGGTAGTGTTATATATTATTAGTAGGTTACTAGTTTGATATGTTAGATAAAATGAAGAGTTAATAATAGTTCAAAAATTGTCTTCTTTAGAAATCTGTGAATAGCATAAGTCTTACTTCAGATGGTAAATTAATGTATTGAAGAATTCTCTCAACAGAAACAATATCCATCTCAAGAAGACTTGCTACTCTTACTTGCAGCTGCATATTTCCTGTTACCTAGGAACAAAGACATATTTGACTGTAACGATAGAAAGCATTATTTTATTAACTAAATGACAATCCTACTTTTAAAGAAATAAGTTGTAAAGAAGTAAACCTAAACTTACTGTTAATGCCATGCTCATTGAAAGACCAATGAGCCCAGGAGAAAGTTGATCATGATAAGCCACACAGAGTATCCCAGCAATCAAAACTAAGACATCACTTATAACACCCAAACGAATTGATAGCCATCTGGAATAATATAATTCAAGCTCATCATTTTCTATAAAAATGTGTCTGAACAAAGTATAAAGCTCTAACTCTGTTACTATTTACCAGGAATTGATAAATGATCAAGCATAACTACTACTAATCCCTAATATATATACCCAACAATTGGAAAATAGATGTTACAGTTTTTGGTTCTAGTCCACTCTAGAAAAAAATGCTGCTGTGTTTTTAAACTTTATTTTACCCCTCGCTAATATCTTGCTTAATATTAGAAATCAAATAATTTAATATTAATGCATTTTTATGTAACATGTAATGTTAACAAATGAATGCCTATTTCCCAAGCATGAATTACCTTTCACAAGCCATACTTGTGTAAGTTTTCTGCTGGAAAAAGTCCACCTTCTCCTCAGATTCCTTGATGAATCTTTCCTCTTCTCTAAAAGCACATATAACACTCCTACCAGCAAAGGATTCACTTGTGTGACTTAGGATGGGTGACAACCCCTTTCTCTCCAACCTTCGTAACTGGCACGATGTTGGCAAATAAAGTTTCTGAAAAAGTAATATATCTTTTACTTGTCCATGTATATCAATTTATATAAGGACATTTATTGTACATAATCAATTGTGCAAAATAGACCTACTAATTGCAAACTTAGGACCATTTATGTTTTATTATATATAAACAAGAGTCCAATTTCAATTGAAAATCAGCCAACATATTCCAGAATTTTAGTTTATTTATATTAATAATAATTACTGGAAATCTAAAATTTACCTCAATAAAGTAAAATAAGAGCACAACGGGAATTATTACAGCAAGGTATACTGGCATATTGATAATGATAGCAACAATCATACAGAAAATAGAAAAGATTGAATGAAGCCAGATTTCCATCCATAATATCAGAGTCAGGTCTACTACACCCATATCACTTGAGATTCTAATAATAGAACAATGTAATAAAATTGGTCACAGAATGCCTCATTATGCTGGTAGGGACTTTATAATGGTAGGGATCTTATACTATTCTTAACCAATTGGCTTACATTTTAGATATAATTGATAATTGCATTATTAAATTTGTGTAGCTCTTAGTCTAAATCACATCAACAATTGGTGAAATTTGATATTTTAAATATTAAAAAATTTAAATAATATTTAAAACATCAATTAAGTAATAGGACTTTCCAAACATATAAATCTTTATTTATCAACGGGACCTCTTTTAAGGGAAGTCCTTTTGAAGCAGGCATTAAGGAAGAAAATCATAGTGTTAGTAGCCATGTCAATGTGAATCAATGCTTAACATTATTTAAAAATTAGGCTTATGCAATGTTTGTGTTTAGTTAGCAAATACCTTGACAAGATTCTTCCAATTGGTGTGGTATCAAAGAATTGAATTGGACTAGTCAAAATGCTGTTGATTAACAGCTCATAAGTTTTTCTTGCTACATGTCTATGTCGAAATGATTTTATTATGGTAAATATAATCACCGCTACAGCTGAAATAGACAGATATAAAAATTCATTTTCATCTAAATATTTCACAGTTAATATATTCAATTTATAGACCAGAGTATTAAAAATATTTCAAATTTTACTGAAGTACTACTTACTCTCTAGTATGCCCCATATGCTATAAATAGACACATAATAGATATTCTCAGCATGCCTCTCTGGACTATGAGCAGGTAGAGAATGATTGTTGAGTAGTGGGCTGTCCACCCAGTAGGATAACCAAAATCCAGCCACCAGTTCAAAAACAAAACAGGAGAGGAACAGCAGACTCATTACAGAAATAGAAAAATAGCCCATGGACTTCCAGAATGATGTGTACACTGACCAGCTGACCTAGAAAACACATATTTAAAAAAAATAGGTTCAGGGATATATTGCAATCTATATATTAATGAATATATGTGTGTCTTTCTGTCTGTCTTTCATGCATTACTACATCAAACTTCCAATGAAACTTTGGGAGGTTGTTGAGTATACTCCAAGTATGGTTTCTCTATGAATAAAGTAAATAATGAAGGGGTGACATCCTGGACGTAGTGTGGAAATTCTACACACCAATAACTAGGATCCAAGAAATACAGCACCAGCATTTTTATTATTTAAGTAACACAGGTTAAGAAAACAAGGTCACACTTGGTAATGCATTGAAGAAATTCTCTAACAATGCTGCGTCTTTTAAATAATGTTTCTTTTGTGATTGCAACAACATACAATGGACAGTACTAACTATTATTTATAAAAAAGGTTTATGTTAAAAACGATGGAATATAATTTGTAGAAATAGGAATTATATTTACTGGAATAGGAAAAGGCTACTGTTTAAGACATACACACAGTTGGAACAAGAAATATTATAATTTGAAAATTCTCAATGTTATATAAATTTTATAACATATTTTAAGTTTTTAATTAAAAACACAAATCTTAAAGAAACCTGCAGTGCATGCAAAAGGTTGTGACCGAATATAAACTGGGCTCTTGGATCATCTCATTATATTGTTCATCAGGGACTATATGCTTTCTCAAACACATAAGTTCCAAAATAAAAGAAATAACTATTACCCTGCCACTTGCAATCTCTTCCTCCTGGATTAGTTTAGATGACACATCAAATTCTTCAGCTTCCACAGCTTTCATACTCAGTTGTTTTACAAACGTGGTTTGCTTGTTGTCTTCAAAATGCCTATTTTACATTGAAACATGTATTTTTAAAATATTTACCAAAATGAATCTGATTTGATGAGACAGCATGGTTCATTAGTTTCTCAGTGAGTGGGCACTAATGATACAATACTTATGTAAGATAAACTGGACATAACATTTTAATAAAATAAATTCCAAACAATGAAATTCTATAATACAGTCTCAATTTTTTTTTAAACCTACTTTTTAAGTTCAAGGTCATTTTCTTTGATAGTATCACTTGAGACAAGCCTTTTAATGATATCTTTTCTAGCTTCTTCTGAAAATAAATAATATTTAATATTTAATTGACTATTCAATCTTTTATGAGATAGAAAAAGTTGTGATTTTGTACAACAAAATGATATGGTGTAAACAAATATAGCTTATTACCATTTTCAAGTTCAATAATAGAGACTGATTCTTCTTCATCTTTCAAGTTTACATTTACATCCCTGATTTTAACCCTCTCTGTTTGTGCCTGTTGTTGAGAGAGATACTGAGACAAGAACTGAGAAAAGGGGCCATTATGTGACATGAGTTCTTCAAATGATCCCTGTTCTGTACACTGCCCATCTGTCATGACAAACACTCTGTCAACTTCTGGCAACCATTGCAATCCATGAGTTACTAGAACTCTTGTCTGTTGGAAATAATTTAAGAAAATATTTTTATTGTCAAACATAAACACTTTATCATATTTAAAATTGGAATTGCATGGCTTCAAACAGACAAGGTTTGTAAATTTTAATTCAACTGTGCTATTGTTAGTTATAGAGTTTATATCACCAACATGTTTGTAGTAGCTTTTAATTTCCTGGGTTTATAGATTATACTGTTCATTGTAAATCGAAATTATGAAGTGAGATAATATAATCTACAAAAAAAGCTTGATAAATAAGACTGTTCAGAAGAGGTTAAAACAATGCTGTGAAATAACATGTTTAAATAATTAGTTGCGTCATATTCTAACTTGCCTTATTTTTTAGAAGTCCATTTTTACCAATCACATGATCAAATATGTGCCTGCCTACATGACTGTCTACAGCACTGAGTGGGTCATCTAGAAGGTAGATATCACTCTTGTGGTACACAGCTCTGGCCAGGCTGACCCTCTGCTTCTGACCTCCACTCAAATTTATGCCCTGCATAAAAATAACCGTATCAAATTTAAAAAAAACAACATGTATCTCAAAGTTAGAAAAAGTAATAACTTTAGACTTCAGCAAGTAAAACAAACTTACAATCAGTGTGCATATATTTCATAACAATGATAAACTTTTAAAATGATTATTTTCTACTCCTGAAATCTCTTAAACTCATTAAACAACACTTCTATTGTATCTAACGATATTTTATTTTCTAAATCTGTGTGTACTTAAAAGCATGATACTTTAAAAGTTAGAAAAAAATGAACTGATAACAGTTTTTTTAAACAGCCGACTTACATTTTCTCCAATTTCTGTGTCATCACCAGAGGGAAGAACCTCCAGGTCAGGTCCCAAGGCACATGCCTTAATGACTTCAGAGTACTCATCATCTCTCACCTCAGACCCAAACAGAATATTTTCTCTCAATGTGTTATGTTGTATCCACGCTTCTTGTGGTATATACCCAATGGTGCCCTGGTGATTAGATGTTATTTTATTAAAGTTCTGAAGATATAATTATAAGCTTGCACAAATGCTGTAAGTTCCAATACAAATATGAAAAAAAAAACATACAATTTTCTTCAAAGTTTTTAAAAATAAACAAATGAAACAAATTCACTTCAATTTACTCAAGAAAAGTCACCTACTAAGTTTTTTAAGAAACTGAAGGTATGAATTTAATTAATAATTTAATAAATATAGACATGTATTTCTGACCTGTTTGTTAACATGTCCACTATGTACAACCATCTCTCCCAAGATAGCAGATAGAAGTGAAGACTTGCCACTTCCTACCATACCCACAACAGCTACAAGACTACCCTTTGGGACTTGTAAACAAATGCTGGAATAACAAAAATAAAATATTTTAAACATTTTTAAAAAATTGTAGATAAATAGGCCTAGTAATTAGTAACCTCGTAAAACAAACCGCCAAGTCAAAATTGTCAAAATACTTTTTTAGGGTAGCTTCAGAATTTGTTGTCCATCCAAAATTTCCATTAGATATAAAGATGGCATCATCTGAAAAATATAATTCATTCACATTCTTTCAAGAATTTGATTTTTTTTATTTCAAAATACACTTTTTACATATTATTATTATATTGGCTTCAAGATAAATATATTTGCTTTATGCCTTTCCTTAAAACTAAATCACCAGATTAGTTTATTAGGCCTATACTGTTTATAATTAACTTACTTTCAGTTAAATTAGAGGAAAAATTATCCACTGGTGGCTTCTCCATATCTTTTGATTCTAAAAAGTTCATTAAACGTCTTGATGACACAAATCCCTAAGCAGAAATGTAAATAAACACATCAGTCAAAGTAATGAATTATGAACAACACAAATGCAACACAGTTCACTTTGTATAAACAGTATTGCACACAAACTTGATTATATTGCAACAAAAAATAATGCTTTAAAAAAGTTTATTAAATGTATAACCAAGTTACTCACAGCAATAACATAGTCCAAACTGTAACCAAAATAAGTAATTGCTCTACGAACTATGCCAAGGTAGGATATAGTGACAAACACCACTGATGCATTAAGGTAATTTTCTTGGTCAACAAGGATGTAGGTCAGAAAGGTGAAGAAAGGCAGCTGGAAATGAAAAGTATAATTAACTAAATGAAACAAGACAATTACATGGTACATACAATTAAATTAGAGGCAAAATAAAATTAATAAAACTGGTAACTATATAATTTTTCTTTTAAAGAAACAAACCCAAAAGAAACCTCCAGTCCATGCAAAGCTTGTAGCCAATCTTAAACAATGGAATTTGAACACAGCTTTTAGTTCATCTCTCCTTATATTGTTCATCTGGGACTTAAATGCTTCCTCCCATGCATAAAGTTTTAAAGCCTAAAAATTGTGGATTTGACATAGCATTAATTGACTATTTCTTTAATTTAAAGTTTTAAATTTTAAGTAATAAAAAAAAACAATTTGTTTAAAAATTATTTGTCACTCAATTATCAATAATATGAATATTCTAACATAACTAAACCTAAAAATTTGCTATCCAAATCAACAGTAGTCTAAAAACAATTGTAACTGTTGTAAGCTTGATAATCGCCCAAAATCAAGTTAGCCATACAATTTACCTTGATCCCAGCAAAAACTTGGGATGTTATTTTCATTCTCTTATCTGCTGCTTCCCTTAATTCTTCCTCACACCGAAGTTGTAAGCGGGAACCAATCAGTTTTAGAATGAAGAGAAAAGCCAATGTGCCAAGTGCTGAAGATGTATTTGCATATTGTGTAATAAAGATTTTACTATATAAGCCAATGGTTGTTTTTTTTAAAATGTTAATAATTTATGTTTGTAAAATTTGATGTGAGTTTTTATTTTGTATACAAATAGTTTAATCTCATATTTAGTGTGTTTATTATTAGCAGCTTAATGAACTATTTTTATTATTTTCACAAAAAATTAAAATTCTCGACTTGTACATTGTAATTTTTAGTTTAAGATAAATTTTACAATATTTCTTATTTTAGTATTTTTAGTACTAATTCTTAACATAAGATGGGTATCTGGCTCTTATTAAAGAAAGTAAAGGTGGTTGGTAATAGAACATACCAGAGAAATAGGCAAACCCAATTTTATAAGCCCTATGGATAATCAGTTCCCAAAGGATAACTTAATATAAATTATTTAAATTTGTTTGGTAATCTTTGTTCACATGGTAAACATATATAAATCTACCTGCAAACATAGCAACCCCAACAGTGTAGTATATCATGATCAGTCCAACCAAAAAATCTAATGGTGCCTCAATCATAAAGAAACCCTCATCAAGCATTATATACACAGTGTCAACATCCTTTGTGATCAGTTGAATTACTTCCCCTGATGACATAGCTTGTCTTGCTTCTGTGCCCAGTGACAAAATCTTAAAATAAAATTTTAAAATACATAAATGCAATCAAGTTAACTATAAGCCAAGTGTTTAATCAATGGATTCATATGCTTTTGAAATATTCGTATTTTTTACAAACAAATTTAATATTAAGACAATTTTTGCATACTAAAGAATTGCTGCATAACCCCAAAAAAAATAATTAAAAATTCATTATCAATTTTATTTTATCATTGCGTTTGTTTGTAACTTTTTAAACTGTCCATAGCACATCTGCTGTGTCAGAGAAAGTTTAAACAATAGATAAAGGATAGAAAGGGGAGAGTTGTTAATGAAGTAAATTAAATTGTAAAGGATAATACTGCTTTAATTTAATAGGTTGAATGTAAAGTTCTTGAGTATGAAACAAAGGTTGCATCAAGAAAAAAATATACAAATTATTATTAATACTGATATCAATTTTTATTTTTTACAGACATCAAAAGCAAAACTTTTTAGGCATAACTGTAGTATTGTAACAAACATGTCAAAATTGAAAAAAAAATTAGGGTGACAAAAATAATACAAGTTGGCAGCCCTAATCACTGCTGAATAAAAAAAATGAGTTTTTTTTCAAGAGATCTTTGGACATTGTACGTTCTGTATTTGTCTAGGGACTAAACCAAACTCCAAGTAATGGCCCCATGCTTAGGGGGCACATCTAAATGGACCTACAATTAAAATAATATTTTACAATGCTCAACTTAAAATTTTAAAACACAATACAATATTAATTTTATAAGAAAACAAGCTGAATATACTATCCACACCTTCCTATAAATAGCAGATACAAGAGCTGCTCTAACTCGTATTGTTGTTAGGTTGCATTGGAAGATGTAGCTCTCATAGATGATTTGTGACAGAACTGATGACAAAAACAGAGCTGTTGCCAACAAATAGCCATGCCAGACTGGCTCATCCTCAGCCATTGAAAAATCTATAAACAACCTAGGGAAAAACATGTAACAATTATTTTAAAGTAGGCCTCTATATAACCATGGATAGTTATTTTTAAAATGGTAATTTTTTTAACAACCATCAATACCAGATTGTATTATCTTCATGTAATTTAAAAGCTATGACAAAGTTTAGAACAAGAGAGCACAACAGATAACTTAAAAATCTAGTGTAGGGCTCTTGAATAGGTGAAATCAACTTTATCTGCCATATTGACTGTAGAGTCCAAAATGGTAACTTTATTGTAGCTGGCTTTTCAAAACCATTTTCATTTACTTAAGAAACTTTGTATCATTGGTATCACATGTGTAATGTAAAAACTGAAATATAAAAAGACTTACTTAAGAAAAACTGGACAAAGAAGAGTAAAAACTTTAGCCAGATGACTCAGCAAACAGCATTTTAGGACTTGCTTCCAAAATGTACACAGGATTATCTGATAAATTTAGAAACTCATAAATAGGCCATACTTTTAAAAACACTTAATTGCATCATTTAAAATTAATCATAATTGCCAACTACAATGTCTTATATGAAGGGATAAATAAATGTACTTGTTTTTATTTTTACTTTTTTTATATTGTAATCTCAATAAGTGCACTTACTTTTGTAAATCCCTTCTAATGTATGTTAAGCCTACCTTCCACAACACAAATCCAGATCCTTTGGTCTCCAGAGATTCAGCTGAAGGAAGGAAGCAAACCTTTTCATTTTGGAGATCAGAGGATATGTTAGCTTCACTAGTTTCTGTTGCTGACAGTTTGCTACCAACGTTTTTGTACTCCAAAGTGGAAGACTTGCATGTTCCATCAGGTACATTAGTTACTGTGTTCACAATCTGATGCTCTCTTTCCTGATAGTTGCTACCAGATCTAAATATAGCACTCACAGTTTTACTATGTTCAGAAAAAAATAGTTGAAAGTTGTTTTCACCAATGGCACCACTGGAAATAATAAGAGGCTCTTTATATATTTCAAAACGTGTACAGTTTTATTAAAACATGTGGTTATATAAATTTGTGTTTTTGAATGACTTCTATGAATCTATACTAGTATACTAGATTAGACATATTTAATAGTTTATTTTTTAAAATACTATATCAAATAAAATACTAAATGTAAAAATGAAATAAATATGCAAATATATTGGTTTCTAATATTATAAATTCTAACTGAATTATGTTGATAGATGTTATAAAAAAAAAGAACACGTAAACCTAGTCTAGATTTTAGAACTAGAATCTAGATATTAGATATAGATCTACCCCCCCCCCCCCCTTCCCCCCTTGAATGAAACAGAATTTATACATAAAAATATATAATTCTACTTCTACCAATGTCCGACCCCCGCCCCTTACCGGAGAATTTCAAGTGCCCCCCGCCGCCCCCCCCCACCCCCCCCCCCACCCCGGAGAAAAAATCTGAAAGAAGCACTGATCTAGATTTAGATCTAGATCTAGTATCTAAATATTAAAAATTTTATTTAAAAATTTACCGTCTGGAGAATTTTGAAAGATTCTTTAGAAATATATGTACAACTGTTCCAGATTTTTCACTGTATTTAAGTGAAAAAATTTCTTTGTCAGTCAGTGGTTTCTTGTAGCCTTTGATTACTAAACTTTGAGAATAGATGTAAATAGAAAAGTAAATTATAATAATATATAATATATTATAATAAGTTCAATAATTAAACTATTTATCAGAGCTTGTTTTTATATTAACCGACAAGTGATTCAACCAATGTAAATATGTATTGGATTTTATAAGATCTTAAAATTTAGCATCGATATTTGTTGAATCTATTTGCCTATTTAGTTTCGACGATAACAATAATTTGGCTCAATCTCAAATTTGTTATAAAACATTATTAAAAGTTTCATTAATGCTGATAATACCATCAAACTAAACGTAGGCATAGGGGGTCGTCCATAAATGACGTCACACTCGTAGGGGGGAGGGGGGGGGGTAGGTAATTTTGTGACGATGTGTGATGAGAGAGAGGGGGGGGGGGGGGGTACAGATGGTGCGACGTCACACTTTTGCTTTATAGATAAGAAATGTTAGAAAACGAATTTTAGACGTTATTTAGCGTTTTAGAAAACAGTTTTAATAAATTATAATAGGAAGTGATTAAAATACTCTATTTTGACATATTTCAGACAAGATTTTGGAAAAATATCGATGTTTAAAAAAAATTCAACTGCAATTTTGAGGGGGGGGTGTAGGCTGAGTTGTGACGTCATTTTAGGGGGGGGGGTCCTGGCTTTTTGTGACGACGTGTGACGAGGGGAGGGGGGAGGTAAAAATCGTCAAAAAAGCGTGACGTCATGTATGGATGACCCCATATGTGTTTGTGTGTGTGTGGCAAAAACGAATCATTCTTTTTTTTTTTAAATTCTTTAAAGAATCATTGAATACCCCATCACCCAGTTCAATGTGAACTTGGAAAGTAATGGAGCGTCGGCTTCTACTGACGAGGGCTGAAAAGCGAAAAGAAAGAAAAATTGATACATTAGTCTCCAACATAGTTATATTTAGAAATATCTGTAGGCCTATAATTACTATAAATTATCGATGCACATAGTTGGTATTTCCAAATATTTTCGCTTTTCACAAATCTGAATTTAAAAAAAAAGTGTTTTAATAAAATGATGCATGCATCTTTAACGAATCTACGGGTTCTGTAACAGTGGCATTCAGTATCAAGCGTGTGGAATTCCACCACAATACCTGTGCAACATATTAATCAAATATTCTGATTAGCTTTGTAGGCTTTATTGTGATTAGTTAGTTAATATATCTTTATCTTAAGTTCTATCCAGAAAATACATACTATACCTGAAAGTATGGATGTTTATGATTAAAACCATAAAGAACTGCTGCACAGAAAATGGTCCCAAAGTTAAAGTAAAATATGACAAAAGACACAACCCTCGTCTCATATTCCTGGAATGACGAGTGTTGATTAGTTAATACCAGGCTAATAACTTATATGATAAAACTTCGTTAAAAATTTACGAAAAATTAAATTAGATATTAAAATAGCCTTTGTAGTAGATTTTGCTTTTAAGATTTTATTCATAGAACTCTTTCCTTTTTAACAATAAAACTTCTAGCAATTTACCTGTAATATGATCCTGGAGTAAAATGGAACCACGTGTGTCAACAAGAGAAGTAAGAAGAACAAAAATAACAAAGGTGACTGCAACACGGAACATTTTTGTTCTAGGATGACTGTGAGCAGAACTAGCACCTGTATCAGAAAATGTTTTTTTCTGGTAGCACATATATTATGGATATGACAAGTACATCTCTTCGGGGGGGGGGGGGAGGTTAAGACAGTATACCGCTCCCCCCCTTGAACGAAATGCAATTTGTATAGAAAACATATTTTTACCAGTGCCCGCCCCTTCCCCCCCCCCCAGGAAAATTTAGTCAGCCCCCCCCCCCCGAAAATATCAAGCGCCCCCCAGGCTGCTGGTCTAGAATCGTGGACGTCCTAAGGATTCGATCCCGAAATCCGAACTTGTGACTTCCGTGTTAGCAGTCATACACACACTGAAACATCTTTTATGCTTATAGTGTCATATAAGATGTTACCAAACTGGTATGGGGCGGGGGATGGGGGGGGGGGAAGATTAAACACTAAAAGATACTCTTCAAATACTCACATATGTTGTAGATTTGATTATACTGAGGTATATGTCAGAGCCACTTAGAAGACTTTGAGACACTAGAAAACACGGAACAATCTCTGTAGCTATGAGCAAGCCACAAACACACTATAAAATAGGAGAGGAAAAAATTAAAAAAAATAAACTAGGTTGTGTTCGTTTGATCTGTTAAAGATAATTTTAACAAGCGTGAAATAGTTGAGAGGAGATCAAGAGTGAGGAATATGAAAAAGGAGCATTTGTTATGCTTGTCACTATGAAATCCATAATAATTGTGTGACAAAACGAAGGCAGTAAGCAACTGTACTAATATACTATTGGATTGGATTATTGATTCTTCCCCCCTCCCCCCACCATCCATCACCATACACTAATGGTTAAGGGTTTACCAGGTTGCGCTCCAAATAGTATCATGGCAAGTAAAACATTATACTGAAATTTCAATACGATAAGAAGATAAGATCTACTAGTATGACAAAATACAGTTAGTAACAGATAGTTTGTTTACATAAATAAGGATATTTTTACAAGCTTTTATTTAACTCACTTCCTCTGTCGTCAGTCGTAAGTCTGTCTAGACGGAAACGCAGGAGTGAAAATTCGGAAACTTCTACTGACCGATACGATTCACACTTGGCACGTGGGTCAAGACATGAAGACAATGCAATCTGAAACTAAATTTGACTTAATTGGATGCCTAATTAATTTTTTATGAATTAATTAAAATTTGGACCGAATTAGTAGGCATGTCTAGCCAACCACACCACACGCGTCATCACCTTCAATAGCTGCGCCATCACGTAATGGCTGCGTTCAAAAACCATTGCGCGCCTACTGAACGTGATGTTCAGTAGGCGCGCAATGGTTTTTAGTCATGTAACTCTATTGTAAATAAAACATGTAAAGTACTGAAAAAAAAATTCATAAAAAACGTTTTAATAACAAGCTTTTATGTAATGATGCACTAAAAAGTAGAAAATAAATAATAGACTACTATTTAAATAACTATAAAGAAAAGCGTGGGTGTCTTCCTTAACATTAGTAAAGGTATCCAATAGATACTAAAGTGACCCACGCTTTTCTTTATAGTTATTTAAATAGTAGTCTATTATTTATTTTCTACTTTTTAGTGCATCATTACATAAAAGCTTGTTATTAAAACGTTTTTTATGAATTTTTTTTTTTAAAATCTGATTCTTTACATTGTGAAGAGTATAGGGAGATATTTCAAATTTAAGATGCAAATTATGTAAGACATCTTGAGTGAAAGTAAACCAAACTTACCAGTTTTAGAACAAACATCAGATCCCAATGCACACTACTTGGCTTTCTCCTCCATAAACAACAGATATACACAAACAGTGAGAAAATAGCATAGTAGCATGGAAGGGGCAATAGGATTGTGTTCTGGAAGCATCGCGTCATTTGTGGCCAAGAGTTATTCCAGAATAGGACAGAATCCTGAAGATATATATATATATATATATATATATATATATATATATATATATATATATATATATATATATATATACATATACATATACATATATATATATATATATATATATATATATATATATATATATATATATATATATATTTATATATATATATATATATATATATATATATATATATATATATATATATATATATATATTTATATATATATATATATATATATATATTATATATTATTATATATTATATATATATAATATCACATCTGGTTTACTTTATTATGTACGGCTAACATATACTAAGAAAGAACGATACTCTAAACAGTAACCAAAAAAATATTACCCAAAAGGGGTCATCACAGAAGGTAGAGATGTCCCAGGTTTGTTCCTCGCTACTGTTAAACATGATTTCGTTCAGCATCGCAGTATGAGTGTTGCTTGGGTGTACTACATGTATTGGCGATATTGGGATGGGAGATAAAGTCGTTTTAAAAGAATTAACTTATATGCAATGTAAATATATTTTTAGGCTAACAATAGAAACACAAATTACAATTTATTGAAAACTGGTTGTTGCCTAATTTTTTTTGTTAATCTCTAGCACAATAAGTTCTGACAGGTATTGATGGATATATTCAGGCATTATAAGTTCAAATAAATGAGTTCTTGTTCAATCAACTAATTGTTGCCGGATTGATAAAAACTATAGTCGATTGTAATAGTAACAATATTTTCCGCAAACCTTCAATGCATATAGTGGTCATGACAATAGTAGTGAAAACAGTAACACCGACTGCGGGTGCATGCTCATCATTTCTTTAGAAAAATGGGATTGAGTATCCACTTAGCCGACTTTATCATCCCCCGGAATTAAGTACCTCTTTGTGTTAGAGTTGCTGAACTTTATCGCCGATCTGGATAAACTTTAGTTATATAATTAACGTTACTCAAACTCAGGTATATTTAATGCCTATGTGCGTTCTTTGGTCTACTTAGCCTCACGGTTAATAAAAAAAAGGCATCTAAATTCATTTGCAACTTTAAATTTTATACATTTTTCATCTAGATGTGATACTGTGAAAGAGCAACATACAAAAACTTGAAGTCATTTCATAAAGCTTATACATGCATCCTTTTAGAATATTTAACTACTACCTAACACTCAGAAGCGTATTAAGTTTTTCATTTTTGCTATGTTTTTACAAATGCCAATGTGCTTTAGGGTACACTCAGCCAGACGAGTCACAAAGTAGTAGGCTACGCTACTGATAAGAAAAAACCATTCTGGTTTAAAATGCGTCAAGTCACCATTTAATATAGGCCTTAGTTTACTTCCAATATACCAACTCTTTATTTCTCTATGGTAATGTTGAGTGTAAAAAGATTGACACACGTATTAGTATGTGTGTGTGTGTATGTGGGGTGGGGGATGGGAGTGTTAGTTTAAAAATGCTCCGTTAAAATATGTCTACTCATATAGAAACAGGATAGGTCTAACAGCCCAGATACACATTTGCCATATTTGCAATCTCATGAACGCTCCGTAGATAGGCTTCAACGTTTTCTCTATACAAAAGTACAGAGTTTATTTAGGCCTTCCTAAGGGGAGGTAAGAACAGAAATGTATCTGCTTTTAAAACGCCAATATTGTTGTTAGCCTGTGTAGAAACCCATATGTAAAAACACATGCAGTATGTTGTGTCGGCCGAAATGTAGGCTTATGCCTGGTTATTGGTCGCCGTTTAGTTTATATTCATTTTGTTTATTTATACACTTCAACATTATTCAGTATCATACGTAAGATAATAATAAAATAATGCAGTGCTAAGTATAAATGATACAATAAGTAAGTTTCTCATACTAAATGATAAACTATATTATACTACAAAATAATATATTTTTTACTTGAACAACTACACACTTACTTTTTAACAAGCTCGGATGAAGTCACTGTTTCTACAATGTGTATAAACTTCTAGTACATTTTACTTTTGTGAACAAAAGTACGTCTACATATTATATAGCTTTTTAAACTGTCCCTATCTTCGTCTCTGTAGATATGGCATACTTAAAGTAACTAGAATTATTGCACAAGATGAAGAAATAAAAACAAGCATGCGATGTTTTAAAGATTCCGTTAGGGAGTTATCTATCTTGCAGGGGCGTAGCGAGGGGGGGGGTGCGGACCGCACCGGGTGACACCATTTAGGGGGGTGACACCAAGGCAAAAAATAGCAAAATATATAGAGAAAAACTCGAGGGGGGGGTGCAAATCGAAAGTTTGAGGGGGGGGGTGCAAATCGAAAACTCGAGGGGGGGGGGGGTGCAAATCGAAAACTCGAGGGAAGGGGGTGCAAATCGAAAATTTGAAAGTTTGTCCCTGGGAAGGGTCTCTATGCCTCTGGGGGGGGGTGACACCATTAAGTGCCGCACCGGGTGACACTCGACCTCGCTACGCCACTGCTATCTTGAACGTAGACTTATTAATAGGCGCTTAACCTACTATTTTGACCCAAAAAAGTGTGTGAAATAAATTTGAAAAAAAAAATATATAAACGGCTTAATCAAACGTAAACGATCATATGCGATTTAGATCTAACTGTATTCCGTTACATATTTTTAAATTAAATAAACCCACTCATTAAGTATGTTTTAAATGAATGATTATTTGTCCTGGGCTAGGAATGAGTAAAGAAAATAAATAGAAACATTTTACAGACAAAAATTTAGATTTTTGTACTGAAAATATATAAATAGGCTAAGCACGTCATGTTTAGCCGCATTTTGTTGGAACAAAAAAAAAAGCTTATGGACCAAAGTTTTTAAATCAATAATAAGCGATTAAAATTAAATTCACTCAGAGTTAAAATCTTTGCATAGCGGAAATTAAACTGAAAGATTACACATTTTCTACTATATAAACTTAACTTACTATTTTAATGCTGATTTTCTTTTGTACTGACTAAAATAAACCGAGAGTGATCTCCCCAAAACTTTCTCGAATATTCTTATATAAAACAACAGGGGATGGCAACTCGGGATATAGACATGATTTTTAATCAATTTTAAATACTTAAACTTTTAAAAATAGAATAAAATCTCGTGGAAAAAGAATTGCACACCAAATGAACGCCTAATATAGTGTGCATAATACTGCGCAATATTATGAGTACTTTATAAATTTACATTAGTTTTCTGAGAAATCGGAAATAGCGTAAATTACTACTTCTGGTCGACGGAAATTACTCAAAATTTGAAAGAAGGCAGAAAATTAGATCGTTTACTTAAAAGTGAAATTTCATTTATCTATCTGAAATAGTACTCAAGTTATAGGCTTTTGAAAAATTCAAAGTAGAAAAAGTACCACTTCCGGTTATCAGAAATCGCTAAAATTTGATACTGATCTACGACTTTGATATAATACTTATATATGAAATTTCATCAACATAGCTGTAACTGTACTCAAGTTATCGTGTTTACACACACAGAGACAGACAGACACACATACACACAGACATACGGACAAGATTGCAATACTATGTTTTTCCGACTCAAGGAGCCCTAAAACGTCGAGATTTGCAAAAATCTCGATTTTTTTTTTTCCGATTACAAGACTTTCTCAATACTTCGTATATACGAGAAAGTA